TTTTCCTTCCTTCCTTCCTTCCTTCCTTCCTTCCTTCCCTCCCTCCCTCCCTCCCTCCCTCCCTCTTTTTCTCTCTCTCTCCTCCCTTCTTCCTTCCTTCCTTCCTTCCTTCCCTCCCTCCTTCCTTCCTTCCTTCCTTCCTTCCCTCCCCTCCCTCCCTCCCTCCCTCCCTCCTTCTTTTTCTTTCTCTCTCTCCCCCCCATCTTTCCTTTCTTTTTCCTTCTGTTTCTTGTGAATCTGTGTCTCTGTAAAATCTGTCCAAATATTTACAAAAGGAAATGCTGGGTTGTGAAACTAAATTCAGAGAAAATGTTACACATGCTGAAGAAATGCATCCAGCATGGTTTCCAAATGCTCCCACATTCATTTTTGTTCTCTGTCTCAAGTGTTGAGGCTTGATCCCTCATATCTTTATTCAGACAAAACTTGCACCGAGGGCAGTAAGACCCAGGCTCAGGTCAGGTCCAATGGTGCTGCAATTCTGGCTTTGCTGGAATGGTTCAGGACTGATTTTGGCCATGAGTGACCCGTTAAAAAGCCTGAATAACCAGTATTACTGGGTAACTGATTTGTGCAATGGGCCAGTTCCAGGCCAGGGCTTATCTACACTTGTCACCAAGTTGCTAACAAATTGGCACCAGTGTCAGTCAATGCAGAAGCTGTCTGCAGCCCTCTGTTACCCTCCGAGATAAACATCAAGCAGGTTGCACTGGGAGACCCACGACCTCTGGAGAAAGCCAGCCAGGTCTCCGGTCCTGCTGAGACAAAGACAACATGCTTAGCTGTGACATGATCTGGCCTAGCCAGCATGGATTCATGGGAGGCAGGTCCTGCTTGACCAACCTGATCTCCTTCTATGACCAGGTGACCCGCCTAGTGGATGAGGGAAAGGCTGTGGATGTGGTCTACCTGGACTTCAGTAAGGCCTTTGACACTGTCTCCCACAGCAGTCTCCTAGAGAAGCTGGCGGCTCACGGCTTAGACAGGTGGACTCTGCGCTGGGTCAAAAACTGGCTGGACGGCCGGGCCCAGAGAGT